TCACATGTTTTCAGTCGGTGGACGGTGACGCCGTCGGGTAATCAGACTCCATTCCCATTATATTTAACTTTTAGCTCCACACTTCTCCAGAATTGTATTTAAAATCTTTTTAACTGCTGGATTTCTCTGATAAAGTCAAAGATGAAACAACAGGCTGCACACTCTTACATCATTGTTTGTGTTTACCTGAGCAGGCGATCCACTGACGGTCCAGCTGCACTCCACAGCTGTCTGGTTGACAGCCCTGGCCTTCAGGAGGGGCCGCTCTGGCTGCTGGCCTTTGGTCTGCTGATGCGTCAGCGTGGTGGGGCTGTCTCCCACGCTGGTGTGAGCCCACACAGCCACCTCATACACCGTCCCTGCTGTCAGGTTGGTAGCTGGAAACAGACAGCGCATGTCAACACCCACGCTGCAGACAAATGCACGCGTGACAACACCAGTCCGACTCGTACCTCTGAGGACGCCTGATGTGACCGTGTAGTTCCTGTTCTCCTTCACGTGTGTGTCAAACTGCCAGGACAGGATCACAGTGTACTGTTCCACCTGAAAGAAACAAAGCAGGGCCGTCAGACGCGTTCGCACAAACGTGAACCATCAGCTAAAAACACAAGAAGAAGACCTGAGGAGAAGCTCTTACTTTGTACGGAGAGGTTAATGTAAAGGACAGGCTCATGGAGTTGTTGGTGATGCTGTCGGCGTTCACAGAGGGAGGAGGCAGGGCTGCAACACAGGAAGGAGTCAAAGGTTTCACACAGCTGAGACATTTACAGGACGGGCCGTACGATGTGCCCCACTGCTCATTATTTGGGCTGAAGAAGTGATTCTGAAAATATTTACTGCTATTTAAAGTTATTATTTATAATATGTGTTCATTTCTGACAGGCCTCAAACACACTTGTGCTCTTACTGAAGGAACTAGCACACACAAAGCTTCAGAAGCCTCCACCTGAAATGTTCCTAAATACCAGTAGATGGCAGCGGTGAGCAGCTTTTCAAACAGCAGTGAGCCTGAGACCAGCGTACCTTTCTGAGGGGTGATGGATTTCACCTCGGACCAGTTTCCCACCCCTCGACTGGTCACCGCAGCCACCTGGGGAAACATCGGCGGTTACACACGTGACGCTAACACAGCGGATGTTTGTGAAGCGGGCGTCTTACCCTGAAATTGTACTGCGTTTCTGGACGCAGCTCGTACACCTTAGTCGTCTCTGACTTGGATCTGGCCGACGTCCAGTCAGCGCTTTGAAACACGCTGTACTCAACCTGTCGACAAACACAAATTAAAGGATGTTTAGCCACAAAAATCCACGACTGGTGAATGTGGAGCCGATAACGAGTCATCTCCTGGCCCAGAGGTGGGTCGTTTTATTAAAAGAAGCTGGGCTGCACCAATAAGCTGAACCGCTACAGGTACAAGCAGATGTTCCAGTCACTCAATGAATATGTAAAAACATCAACATCTGTTTGATCAACAATCTCAAAAACTATTGTGAACAAAATGTGCAAATTTAAGACTTTTAACGTTTTGTCTGTAGTGTCATTACTTTGTCTACACTTCACTTCTTTTCTTATTGTTCAGTGAGAGAAACTTAAACACGTGATTTAAGTCAAGTGAATCCCCTCACTGAGAGATCAGCATCATGTTTTCTCACATATGAAGCTAATGAGCTAAAGACAGTTAGCATCTTCTGAGCGTGTCTCAAAGCCCAGCAGTGATACTAACTCAAGTCTTTGTGAGCAAATCAAAAGTGTA